CACAGAGAAACCCTGTCTCGAAACACACACACAAAAAAAAAAAAAAAAGAAAAAAAAGAAAGAAAGAAAAAAAAGAAAAGAAAAAGAAAATGACACCAACTGTGGGTTCTAGTTCTAGTCCCTGTGTCTCGTATTCCTGCCACCATGCCTTCCTGCTTGGACCAGAAATCCTCTGAAACTGACCCAAAAGAAGTTTCTCCTCCTCCCTGATATTTCTGTTACTTTTCTTTGATCCACTGATACAAAAGTAGCTAGTATAGTAATGACTACCAAAACCAAGAATTAGAACTTTAACCATCAGTCAAATAAGCTTTTTCATGTGAAACATGGTGCCCCACAGGTAATCTCAGCACTGGAGAGGCAGAGATGGGTGGATCTCTTGTGAGTTTGAGGCCAGCCTAGTCTACATTGTGAATTCCAGAACAGCCAGAGCTACATAGTGAGATCCTATCTCAAAACACAACAAAAACAAAATAAGCTGTCACTCTTTTTTTCCCCTCTTATCTTTTGCCCTACTTCAAAATAACTATCATTCTTAATTCTGTTTCATAATTTGCACTACTTTTCTAGTTTGATCTGTAACACATCTGCATGTATTTTAAGATATTTATGCATATACATTTCTGGTTGGTTTACTCTTTTCATCCTGAGTTCTGAGGATTAAACTCAGTTTGTCAGGTTTGCACATCAAATGCTTTCCTGTATAAACCTTCTCACCGGCCCTACATCTACTTCTTGACAGAAATGTCACTCTGTCACTTCTCTGGGACATTTAATCCAGGTAGAGTATCCCAGGGCAGCTCATAGCTTTGTCTGCAGACATTTCCCTTCATTTTACAACATTGTGTAAACCAGCTTAAGCAGAATAACGAGGCCTTTAGTTCAGCTGAGTGATTTGCTCACTGTGTGGGAGCAGTGATCTTTCTATGGATTTGATATGTTCTATATCATTTTTAAAAATTTATTTTATGTATATGGGTGTTTGCATGCTTGTATGTCTCTGCACCATGTGTATGCTTGGTGCCTGAGAAGGCCAGAAGAAGGTATCAGATGTGGAACTGAAATTGCACACAGTTGTGAGCCCCCATGTGAGTGCTGGGGACAGAATCTGGATCCTCTAGAATAGCAGCCAGTGTTGTTAAGTACTTGGCCATCTTTTCAGCCCCAGGTTGATAGATTCTTAACTGCAAGGCAAGAACCTTTGTACTATAACCCCTCTTTGATCCTGAGAACACTTCAGAATTATTATTATTTAGAGTTATTTATTTTCCTTACACAGTATTCAAAGAGATTTACTGAGTGTTCTGGCACTGGGTATTCATGCTGAGCAGGATTTTTGTGATTAAAACTTTGACTGAGTTTTTCTTCATATCAATTGAAATGAACAGGGGCATTTTGTTTGCTCATCTATAGTTAATAAATCTTTAAGGAAAATTAGGAACTTTGTAAAGAAAATGATAATAAACCAACACAAATATAAATAGGTAAGATGTTTTTCCATAAAAATAATTTATTATGCTTAAAGTTAGGACTGACTGCATATCATATTTAGCTATAATTGATAATAGTTTTCCAAAGGTTTTAAAAGTATTCTATCAGTAGCTTGTTTCCCATTTCTCTGCCTATTATTTCTAGAGTTAACAGAAGAAAAAAGTTAAAACATTTTTATGTATCTATGTGTGCGATGTGGGTTTTATGTTTGTGTGTGCTCTTTGTGTGAGTGTGGAGGCTGACGTTGACATTGAGAGTCTTTAATTTGAGGCAGGATCTCTAAGCTGAATTCAGAGCTCATCGATATGGCTGGTCTAGCTAGCCAACGTGCTCCAGTGATCCCTTATTTCTATTTTCCCAGCTCTGCAGTTACAGGGGCTGCTGTGTCCGCCTGGCATTTGCATGACTTCTGGTTTTCATGCATGTATTCACTGAGCCATCTCTCTGCCCTAAAACATTTCATTTTTAAATTTTTAAACATTTTTTAAAATTACTTTTAATTGCAGCACTTGGGAGTCAGAAGCAGGTGTATCTCTGTGAGTTCAAGGACTAAATAGTGAGTTCCTAGACAGCCAGGCTACATAGTGAGACCCTGTCTCAACTCCCACCCTCTCAAAAAAGATTTCTTTACATGATATTATTTTTTGCTGTTATTTATTCATTTATTTTATATAAATGAAACATCAGTGTTTTACCTTCATGCGTGTGTGCTGTGGTGCTTGTAGAGGTCAGAAGACAGTATCAGATTCCCTGGAATTGGAGTTACAGATGGTTGTGACTCACCATGTAGGTGCTAGGAACGGAAGCTGGGTCCTCTGCAAGAGCCCCCTAAACTGCTGAGCCCACTAAAACATTTTTAAGTTGGCTTTTTCCTTGTGAATCACTAGCCACACGTTTACTATCTCCTCTACTTTCTGGTTTTAAGGCTCAGGAAAGAATGCTCCTGTTGCATGTCCATAGACTATACAGCCTCCCCTTTATTTAGAGTGACTCTTTCAAACAGTAGATGCCAGGTTAAGGGCAACTTAAAAAAAAATCATTTTATTTTTCAAAAGTTTGTTGTTGTTAATTTTTGAGATTGTATTTTAAGTACAGTAGTTCTCTCTCCAAACCCTCTCCTGCTCTCCTTCATATTTGTGGCCCTTTTTTGTTTTAAATCAATTGTTATTATAGGCACATATGTATTTGTATATACATATATATTTTTAAAAACAACCTGTCGAATCTGTGTGATGTTTCCTGTATGTCTCTATGTTTGTATGTATGTATGTATGTATACACGTATATGTTTTCAGGGCTGACCATTTGGCAGTAGATAGCCAACTGGTGTGCTCTTCCCTTGGGAGGACCACCTGTCTCACTTCTAGTTTTACTCGGTTGTAAGGACAGCTCTTAGGTCCTCACAGAAATCCACCTGCCTCTACCTCTGTCTCCTGAGTGCTGGGAACTAAAGGAGTGCACCACCACATCCAGCTTGCTCTCCATTTGATACAGGAGCTGACAGAGTTGCCCCAGCTGGTTTGAGTTTGGATGCCCTGCCTCAACCTCTTGAGATGCTGGGATTATGGGGCCTGGGCCACCAGCCTTGACATACCCTCTGACTATGAAAGCCTGTTTGTTGGAATAGGATAAAGGGAAAATATTTTCCATAGTTTAAATGTAGAGCAAATTGAGATGTAGTTCCCTATGCAGTGACTTTATTTTCTCTCAAGACGGAACAACTGAATGGTGGCTCTCTCTCCTGCACTAAAATAGCATGGTTAAACGCAGGGCTCTCCTGGGTGGAGACCTTTTAGGAGACCAAAATAACAGCTGTCCTGATCCTCAGGGAGCTGACGAGTGAGTGACCATGGCTGGTAGGTGACTTGGAAAGGCTTTGTATTTCTATTGAATTAATCTTTAAAATATTAGCGCAGTTTAAGTGGTTGTTATAAAAAGTAACTAACTAAAAAGACACGAGTATTTCAAAAACACAGATTTGAGTGAGTTAATGAAAATTCTAAATATGCTAATAAGCAAATGTTTGCTGAGTATTGAAGTCAGGGACTGCTGTGTGATAGTTTAGAAAATAAAATTTTTAAATAGATAACCTATAACCAGTATAACACTGGTGAATACAGTTTCAAAAGACACAGTGTTCACTTTGTGCAGCCACCAGAGTCCCTGCTGGCATTTTCATGTATCTACGTTTTGTCTGTCTGTCTGTTTGGAGGCAGGGCCTTTCTGCAGCCCTGGATGGCCTTAGAACTCACTCTGTTTGCCAGGCTGGCCTGGAACTCAGAGATCTGCTTGCTTCTGCCTCCCACATACTGGGATAAAAGGTATCTGTTATCATGTCTGGCAGGTGCCAAGTTTTTAAAAATTAACTTTATTTATTAGTTTTTCTGTGTTCACATGTGTGTGCAAGCTGTTCCAGAGAGTAGAGGGAAGTCAGGACAACTTTTGGAAGCTGGTTCTCTTCATAGGTTTCAGGGATCAAAGTCAGGTTGTTGGGCTCTCTCCTACTGAGCCATCCCCCAGTGCCAAGTGTTGATAGCCTATTCCATGTAATAGCTCTAGCTGTAAGGATAGATGCTCTTGTGATTTGTAGTTTACAGATCCGGGCACAAGTCATCTTGGTGTTTAGCGATGTTTAACTACAGAACATACTTCCCCGCCCCCACCTACTTCTTCTTCTTCTTCTTTTTTAAATTTGAAAACAATTTTAAGCTGAGTGAAAGTGGTGCATGCCTTTAATCTTAACACTAGAGGAGGCAGAGGCAGGTGGATGTCTGAATTTGAGTTCAGCCTGGTGTACAGAGCCACTTCCAGGACAGTCAAGGATACACAGAAAAACCTTGTCTCAAGACCAAAAAAGAAAAAGAAAAGAAAGAAAGAAAAGAATTTTAAATTTACAAAAAGTTTTGAGATTAACCATCCAGGACGCTGAGGCAGGAAGAATTAATGCAGGTGTACACATACACACAAGAGAATAGATAAGTATTTTAAAAAGAAAGAAGAAAGAAAGGAAATGGGCAAGAACATAGCTCAGTTGGGAGAGTCCCTGCCTACCATGCATGAGGCCCTGGGTTTGGTCCCCAGCACCTCATTAACATGTACGTGGTCATCCACACCCGCAGTCCAAGGGATGAGGAAGATTTGGCGTTTGAGCACTTGTTGGGCTATACATTCCAGGTCAGCTGTACCACATAAGACCCCGTCTCCAAAAAGGAGTCTGGGGAGGGAGGAGAAGGAAAGAAAAATTTCAAGAGTAGAATAAAGAGTTCCAGAAATTCTGGAGTTCTCACTTTGGGTTTTGTTGCAGTTTTAATGTTGACAAAGGAAATCAGTTAATATGTATATTACGCAGTCTGGGCCAGAATATTGTAGAAAATGCTGCTGTAGTCCTCCTGATACGCCCTTACAAGTGGCACACAGTTTGTTCACTAAAGGGAGAAAGGGGATGGAAAGAAAAAACTTCAGTGTGCTTTACAGAGAGCCCTCTATTCAGCAAATGCTATTTCTTCTAGCATCCTGGTGGGGAAGAGGTTCTCCTGGAACAAGCTGGTGCTGATGCAACTGAAAGCTTTGAAGATGTCGGCCACTCCCCTGATGCCAGGGAGATGCTAAAGCAGTACTACATTGGTGATGTCCATCCGGTAAGAACTGTTGGTAGCACTCAGATGCTTATGCAGAGAAAACTACTTGACAGCCACTAACAGGATGAGAGAATGAATTATTTAGTGTAAAAATTCATTCAGCCTAGCTCTCAGGCCAGGTTTTCTCCAGAATCATTAAACCATCCTGTGTTGTACATAGTATCTGGAAAGCCAAGGAAACTGGTTTTCTTCTTTTATTGATTGATTCTTGTAATTAATAACACCCGTTCCCAAAATAGTGGTTTGGTTATTCTTGCAAGTTTCCTACTAAAGTTATTTATTATGTACCTGTGAGTCCTTTGGCCTTAGCATTCTAATGGGGGATCTTGATGTGCTAAAGGGTGGACCTGGGCTCCTTTTTCAGACCCTGAAGTCTCTGAAGGAACTAACACATTGCTAGACCTCATTTAGATGCATTTAGAACATTGTTCTCTCTTTCTCTCTCTCTCTTTTTCAACAGAGTGACCTTAAACCTAAAGGTGGTGACAAGGTAAGAAGTCACTACTTTGTCTTGTGTGCTTCTAGTATTTCTATTAACTTGAGTAAAATTGCTTTTAAAAATAATTTTAATAAGAGAAGTTAAAATTAGCTGGAGAAGTGGTGGTGCCACATATCTTTAATCTCAGCATTCAGGAGGCAGCAGCAGACAGATCTCTGAGTTTGAGGCCAGCCTGGTCTATAGGGTGAGTTCCAGGATAGCCAGAGCTACACAGAGAAACCTTTTCTAAAAAAAAAAAAAAAAAAAAAAAACCAAGAACAAACAAACAAAAAACCAAAATGGCAACAACAAAAACTTCTCTGGAGAGATGGCTCAGTGGTTAAGAACACAGTTTGCTCTTCCAGAAGACCAGGGTTTGATTCCTAGTACCTCATGGTAGCTCAGTACTATTTATAACTCCAGTCTCAGGGATCCAACATCCTCTTCTGGCTTCTGCTGACACTGGCGCACAAGTGACATTCCTATAGGCAGAACACTCATTCACATAAAATACAAAAGAGCCAGAGAATGTGGTCCATGCTTTCAGTTCCAGCACTTGGGAGGGAAAGGCAGATGGATCTCTCTGAGTTCATCTTCACTTTTATCCAAACAAAAATTCTGAGTATTTGTTGTTATTGTTTGTTTGTTTTTGTTTTTCATGATAGAGTTTCATCTTGACTATCCTGTGCTTTATAGACCAGGCTGGCCTTAAACTCACAGAGATTCATCTGCCTCTGGCTCCTGAGTGCTGGGATTAAAGTTTTGTGTTATCCTGCTTGGCTCCCAAAACTCTATTTTTAAGGAATTTGGACTTTATACCTGTCAGGAAAAAGGAAAAGCTAAATGTTAAACAGAAGAAATGATTTTAACATTTCTGTGTGAGCCCAGCCTTTGATGACTGAGAAACATTGTATTAATGCACCTAAGCTTTTTAAATCGAGACTCTAAAGTATGTTTACAGTGGATTTGAAAGAAATTAGTTTTGGGTTCACTTTGGGAAGACATCTTACTCTTACCTATGTAAAACAGATGATGGATACTCTGATTAATTTTTTTCTACAAAATACCTTCTTTATAATATAAAGGCCTTTCTTTCTGTCTTTATTCCCTCAAATTAATTTTTAAAATCCTGTATGTTCAAATTGTTTCACACCCTTCCCAGTTTACTCACTGGTTCAGCTAACACAAAGGGTTTAGTATTTAAATATTTGAAACCCTCAGTGTGCTTTGCCTGACTTACAGACCATGAGGAAAGTGCAGAAGCCTTTTTTGCTTCCTACAAGCAGGGCAGTGTCACCTCCTGAGTTCTTTGCTAGTTCCCTTGACTTCTTTCTGTTAGAGGTTGTTACATGCCCTCTAGGAAAGGGATGGCAGTCTAGGTGTTCCTAGCTCGTCGGGGACACGGTAGTCTCCCCTTCTTCCTTCTAGATTCTCAGTCTTCATTGAGCCAGGAAAGAATGAGCAGGTTTGACACAGCAATTCAGTTTGGCCTGGCCACAAGAATTCTTTCAATTCAAGAGGTTGCTTGCTTGGCAGTGTGTACCTTCTGTTGCCTTGAAATCCAGGGTGTGTATATAATTAACTCTTCTATCTCCTCTACTGCTCGAACTGTTAAGTTACGAAGTTGGTTTTCCCTTTCCCTCTTCACATCTTACCCTGTCTTGAATCATCTTGTGACATTAAGGTAAAATTTGAGCTAATATGATTGTAGTTGGCCATTTCTAGAGAATGCCACCCAAGTTCAACATTTCATAGGCAACTCACCTTGAATCTAGTAGTCTTCACCCAGCTCTCCAAGACAATCATGAAGGCATTCTTTTTTTTTTTTATTCGAGACAGGGATTCTCTGTATAGCCCTGGCTGTCCTGGAACTCACTCTGTAGACCAGGCTGGCCTCAAACCCAGAAATCTGCCTGCCTCTGCCTCCTAAGTGCTGGGATTAAAGTTGTGTGCCACCACTGCCCAGCAAAGATTTATTTATCTTATGTAATGTAGTTGTCTTCAGACACACCAAAAGAGGGTGTCAGATTTGCAAATGGTTGTGAGCCACCATGTGGTTGCTGGGAATTGAACCCAGGACCTCTGGAAGAACAGTCAGTGCTCTTAACCACTGAGCCATCTCTCCCGCCGGAAAGCATTCTTTATGTTGAAACAATAGAAAGATATTTTGCAGTTACAGTGTCTAGAAGTCTATCAGTTATTTCTTGTTGGTGTTTTACTGCTAATACAGGAGGCACAGCGTTTACATAGCATCTGTGAGGGAGCCACTGCAGTGTTTCAGAAACTCTGGTCCTTTTACCATTGTTCTCTTTCTGGGCTGCCACTAGTCCTGCTTAGAGTCTCTGGAGTTGAGCTGGCTTTGCTTTTTGTTTTTTTAGATAATTATTTAATTTTATTTTATGTACATTGGTGTGAACATGAGTTACAGACACTTGAGGGCTGCCATGAGCGTGCAGAGAAATGAACCTTGGTCCTCTGGAAGAACAGCCCATGCTCTTAACCAGTGAGCCACTTCTTCAGCCCTCCTGGGTTTGCATTTTAAATAGCCTAGCTGATAGGAAGGAAGCCAAGCACCACACTTTCTGCTGAATGATGTGCCTGTCTGCCTGTCACTGCAGATGAAAACCCAGGGATTCTGAGTTTGCTCCTGTGCAAGCATTGCCTGCCTTCTGTAAGGCAAACAATTAATTAGAGATTGATCAGCTGAAATAAACTGATTGGCCCTGGATTTTCTTTTTCCCCTGCAAGAAGTATAGAAAAAGTCTCCTCAGAGCACCAAGCAGTATGATAATTTAGATCTGGAAATGTAGTATAGCCCATCCCAGGTTAGGAAGGAACGAGAGCTGTGCTTTCAAGCCTGTTTTTCTCCAGTTACTTTCCCCAAGGGACCTGTCTCCATTAGGATGATTCTGGCTGTTGTTTGTTTCCAGTCAGGCTGTCTCTTACCCGCCAGGCAGATTAGGCAAAGACAGCGTTTTGGAAAAATTTCAAGACTACCTACCAGGTTTTCATAGAATTATATTCCAAACTGATTTCTTTTCCAGGAAGAAATTCTTGATCCCTCAGGTTTATCCCTGTGCTTGATGTTAGCCAAAAGGCTGAGGAGTGATCTGGCTTCTCACAGAGGCTGAAACAGACACTTGTATCCTAGGATGCAGAGATCTCTTTCCTTCCTGAAGTGGGAGAGAAGCTCATTTATTAATTAGTTTCCTTTCTTATAGTTCAGGATTTCTGAATCAGTAAAAAATGATTTTTAAAGCACAGCCTTCAGCTTTCTGGGATAGAGTTTTCATCTTCACTCCCCCCCGCCTTTTCCTTTGTCTTCCCCTCAGACAGCCTCTGCCTTCTTCCCAGGGAAAGTGAGCTTTCCAGTCAGGGGTCTGCTGTATCTACTGAGGATGACCTTGAATTTCCAGTCTTGCTGTCTTCCCTTCTGGAGCTCTGGGTCACAGGCATAGGCCACTGTGCCCAGTCTTCATTTCTCAGTTCTTCTAGAAACAGTTTTCATGTTCCTTTTACTACAGTCTGGGTAATTACTGATAATGGTCACCACTGTTTCATTGTAGATCGATAATACCCCAGTTGATGGCAGACATACTACAATATAAAAATTTTAAAGATTTTTAATTTATAAATCTGACAAGTTATTTTTCTCGTTGAGACAGGGTCTCACTGTAGCCTTGGCTGGCTTGGAACTAAGATCTGCCAGCCTCTTCCTCCCAAGTGCTGAGATAAAAGGTGTGCCATGGCGCCTGCTTTAGTTGGTAATAACTAATTAGAATTAAAAATAATTTCACTCTTTAGGGTATGCTGATGCCATAGAGTAAGACTGTTGTCTTGAAAAATAAAACATAATAAAAAGAGAGTTGTACTTGATAGGTGGGGATAAGAGAGTAAGTACTTCATGACCCCCTTAACCATACCCTGTCTACGTGAGAACCTGTCTCAGAAAAATAAAAAACAGTTCTTCGCTGTTCCTGTCTTAACTACCCAACTTACTGGAGTTTGCAGTGAGGCCTCATAGGATCAACAGTAACTGCCACTGACCAAGGCGATGTGGTTTGCCAGACAACTATGGTCTTGGGGAATTAAGCATAAAATGTCCTGACCCAGTCGCTCTTGAAAAACAAAATGCTGTTTTCTGCACAGCGTCAGGCATTAATGTCTCTTAGGAAGTTCTAGAAACAAATGGATCATGAGAAGCCAGACAGTGCTCTTCCATACTTCCCAACTAGAATTGCTTGGGCATGCATTTCTCCTTTAGGTCCAAATAGGGATGTTCACCTTGGAAGGGCTTTTCCTTGAGACAAAATCTCATGTAGCTCAGGCTGGCCTCAGGCTCACCACTTAGCAGATGATGACTTTTTGATCCTCCTTTCAGCACCTCTGAAGCTACGGGGTCACTTGTGTGGTAGCCGTACATGGTCAATGTGGTAATTAGACCCAGGCCTTCCTATGTGCCAAGCAACCATTCTACCAACTGAACTACACCCAGGCTTTTCTTCCAGTGACATGTTATATGTATTAGCATGGGGTTCTTTTTGTTCTTATTTTGAGACAGTTTCTTGTGAGGCGCGCGTGTAATCGTCTCGCCAGCAAGAATGCACCACACACACACACCAGAATCCTTCCGTAAAAACACGTTTATTCCCAAATACAAAATGGTGGAAGAAGACGCCAGGCCCAGGAAAAGCACTGCTTAATATACCCTTGGAGCGGTGCATTCACCTCTGATTGGCTGCTTACTCGTAACGTGCCAAACGCCGTGGGATGGGCTTTAACTTTGGCAGGCCTTTTCCATGGCACATGCGCAATTCACCTATTCACCAGGAAAAATCCTGGATGTCAGGCAAACGCGGCTTTAGCCAGCGCATGCGCGGCTTCCTACAGTTTCTCAATATGAATCTGACAGTTATGTTCTTAAGGGAATTTAGAAAATTGTATTAGGGAGTTTTTCTTGTTTTGTATTTTTTCCTGCCAACAGGGAAGTATTTTTATATACAACTACACTAACTACAGGGTCATATACTTCATGAGACAGTAATTATTGAGCTGTATTTTCATCCAGAAAAATTATTTGGGACTGGAGAGATGGCTCTGAAGTTAAGAGTATGTGCTGTTCTTTCAGAGGACTGAAGTTTGATTTCCAGCATCCATATTAGGCAGCTCACAACAGCCTGTAACTGTAGCTCCCAGGGCCCCACACCATCTTTTAGCCTCCCAGGGCTCTGTACTCATAGATGCATACTCATATAGACATAATGTACTCAAAATCAACAGTAAAAAATAAAGTTCTTATTGAAAAAATTTGCAGTAACTGATACATTTTAGTATGCTGGAAATTCATGAGAAGGCTGCTCCTAAGGTTATATATTGTATGACCCTATATAACTGGATATATAAATAAAATGTTTGCATCTTAAATCTTCTATCTTCTAACTTTTTAAGTAATATACCCTAATAAAATCCATACCCTAATAAAATTCATACAGTGGTACTTTATGATGCAAGAGCCATGATATGACGAGGGAAAGAAAATCCTTTCCAGAAGTATTTTAAGTCAAAAGTTTCCAACTCATTTTTCTTAAGTTAGTGACCACAGAAATGCCATTGAGTAAAAAGCTGGGGAAACCACACTGTTGGATTTGTTGAAGATGTCTTAAGGCTTAAGTTTTAAATATTTGGAATTCTCTTGGAATAGCAAATTCCCAGCTTAGGAATTAAATGCAAGCTCCTTATACATTTTATTTATCTGTTACTTATGCCTAATTATAATCTCTGATTAGCCAAAGATAGAGTACCCTGTCTCTACTGTCATACCTTATAATCATAAATTTGGCATTCTTTTTCCTACCTTCATGTTCTGGTGATGAAGTTTCCCACATCCCTTAAGTGTGTGTTCTCTTTCACGTTTTCTTATAAACAAAAGTTCATTGTGCAATTCTCCTTTATTGACTACAGCATCCCTGCCCATGACTTCCAGATTAATTTCTTATTCTTATTTTCAGATTAAGTCAGTATTCAGTGTACAGTGCTTCTAGAGAAAATGTCTGGGAAACAGTCTCTTGTGGAGCTAGTGAAAGAGACAGAGATGACATGGGGAGTGAGCTCCTGCAGACTCCCTGGGCATGTGAGAATGGTGTTTCCTCTCCTGCCCTTCAGAACACTGATCTTGAAGGTCTTGCTAAGATGCCTCAACTTAGAAAGCTGTGCTGGAATAGTGATGTTAGAATTCAGGCTTATCTGAGTTGTCGTTCAACAGACGAGGAAGCTGAGTTAGCCTGAACTGGAAGGTACTACACATAATTTCACTATGAGTAGCTTTAGAAAAAGTTGATGTGGGGCTGGAGAAATGCCATAGTGGTTAAGAGCATTGGCTGTTCTTTCAGAGGACCTGGGTCACCATGCTCAGCTAAGCAGTTGATTTTTATTATTGATAACATTGGACTAAAATCATAGCAGACTCAGAAGTTGTGTTTGCAAGTGGACTCCTTGGAAAATAAAGAAGCATGCACACTGACTATGTGGTAGGGCTTCTACCGGAGGAGTGAGGGATCTGATCTGACCTCTCATTACTAAAGCCTTAGTGAAGAGCACTGACATCTGGCGTGGACATTCTCAGCCAGATGTGCCTGAACACCAAGGGGTAAACTAAGTCCATTCATAGCCTGTGGGAATGTCACTTACGTACACAGTAGATTCATCAGCGTTCTGACATGGACATGAGGACTGTGGGAAGCGTGTGAGCTGGCAGAAAAATGATTATTTTTCTTTTTAGTTTTATAAAATTGAGAAAGAGTCAAACAACAAAATTAAACTTAATGTAGGTGGCTTCTTTCTGAACTGACTGAAGGACTTGACTGTCAATGGCTGTGCCTTAAGTATTGCTCATTGTGTCTGACTAAAAAGGGAGCCGCAGCTAAGCATGCACTGTCAGTGTCGTGAGGGGAGTGCACACTTCTCTTCTCCTTCCTCCGATGTGCTATGCAAGTTTTTCTTCTTTCCCCCTTCCAGGAAAGAATTGCTCTTAAACAGGGGTACTTTCAGGTACTTAGTTAAAAAACAACCAACCAACCATGACATTTACATGATTTCTCATACGTTAGAGTTGATTACCATCCGCATATTGGGGGCTTAGCTCTCTGCTCTTTCTCTTGATGATGTAGCCCAAGGCTCACTGTAGTTCCCACACATCCAGAACTTCAGTTGTAGAGGAGTATAAAAGATTTGTAATGTACAAGCTGTGTGTGTTTAGGCGTGACATATGAATTCATCTGCATGACAGTGTTTGTAGTTCATGTAAGATAACAATCATAATCAATCTGATCACTCCACAAAGAAACCACAGACCTCTTAGCAGCCATATTCTGTTCCCTGTTGCCCAGCTTTCTGTTCCACTCCTCCTCTGTCTGCGTAGAGGGACTTACAGAACAGGTGGTCTCTGTGTCTGCCCCTTCTCACTAGCCTAGGTAATGTTTTGAGGGTCCATCCATCTTGTCACATAGATCAGTAATTCGTTGCTTTTCATCTCCAGCGTTGTTCTTACATTTATGTAATTAGATATTTGATTTGCTTTTATATCAGTGCACTGTGTGCATGCCTGTGCTTGTGGAGGCCAGCAGAGGGCAGCATATTCCCATGGGACTGCAGTTACAGAGTTGGAGCTACTATCTAGGTGCTAGGAATTGAACCCAGATCCTCCGGAAGAGCAGCCAGTGCTCTTACCTGCTGAGTCAGCTCTCCATCCCCGAAATCTGATTTTAAAGATTTTGGAGGCAGTTATGGTGAAATATACTTGTAATCTCATCACTTAGAAGGCTAAAACAGAAGGATCTTTTTTTTTTTTTTTTGGTTTTTTGAGACAGGGTTTCTCTGTGTATCCCTGGCTGTCCTGGAACCCACTCTATAGACCAGGCTGGCCTCGAACTCAGAAATCCGCCTGCCTCTGCCTCCCAAGTGCTGGGATTAAAGGTGTGCGCCACCACTGCCTGGCACATCATTTCTATGTTCTCATTAGTGACTCTTCACTAAGAAATATCAATGTGTTATAAGAAGTAAAGGATTCCAAGTCTGCCTATTGCCTCGAGGTACTAGGCATTAAAATGCATGAAAGAAATTCTGTTACTATGTACAGTTTCTCTAGATATCCAAGAAGACTTGTGTGCACTGTACTAATGCTTTCTTTTTGTCATTTTTGAACATGTGACTTCTTCAGGATCCTTCAAAAAACAATTCATGCCAAAGGTTAGTATCTCCCTAATGGTCTTCCTTATGTTCTACATCATGCCTGGCAAAAGGTTCTTTTTAAAACTACATGTCTCGGGGCTGGAGAGATGGCTCAGCAGTGAAGCACACTGGCTGGTTTTTTAGAGGACCTGGTAACTTCAGCATGGGGTGTGTGGGTGGGTGGGGTGGGAGGTGTCTTATGCCTTCTTCTAGCTTCTGTGGTTACTAGGTATGCACGTGGTAGACAGACAGACATGTAGGCAAAATATACATAAATGTTTGTTTGTTTGTTTTGAGACAAGATTTCTCTGTATAGCCCTGGCTGCCCTAGAACTTGCTCTGTAGACCAGGCTGACCTCAAACTCAGAGATCCTCCTGCCTCTGTCTCCAGAGTGCTGTGATTAAAGGTGTCTGCCATATAACTAAAGTTTTAAGAAGGAAAACCAAAGCAAAGAATTTCTATGCAGATATGGGCAGCACTAATTGGTTTTGGGGAGGAAAGTTATTTTTAAACAGAGGACGTGAAGCTGAGATGGAGACAGGGTAGAACCCCTGGACAGAGCCGGAGGGTAGTGATGGGAGGGTGTCATCAAATATATTATATGAGTGTATGAAATTTTCAAAGAATCAGTGTTGTTTTTAGAAGAATTATTATCCAAAATACATAAAGAATTAAAAATATCTCAATAGAATATGCACAAAGATTTGCATTTAAATGCTTTACACAAATATAAGCATATGGAAAAAGGTTTAATGTCTTTATCATTAAAATCATGGGTCTGTTTCACACCTGGGTAGGCAAAACTACAAGTCGTACACCTAAGACTTGCTTATTAAGAAGTGAGTTACCGAGACTCTTACCCTTCCACAGGGGTGTTACTGAGAGCATTTGCTTTGAGGACATTTTGGCAGTGTCTAGTAAAATTAACAATAAGAATAACTTTTGACCTAACAATTCCATTTCTATGGGACCTGTAATAGAAGCATGTCACAAACCAGGGCATAGTGTGCCTGCCTTGTGGTTGCAGTTGCTGTAAGGATTGTTTGACCCAGGAGTTTTGAGACCAACCTTGGCAACATAGTAAGACTACTGCCCAAAAGAAAGCAGAAGGAAACAGATATGTGAGTGTCTACAGCTGGGGCTGGGTCTACAGCTCAGTGGTGAGAACGTGGGCTGCTCCTGCAGAGGACCCAGATTTAGTTCTGGCATCCACGTGGCAACTCACAACCAGCTGTAATTCCATTTCTAGGGGACCCAACACCTTCTGACCTTTGAGAGCACCAGGCACTCATGTGGTACACATACATACATTCAGGCAAAACCCCCACTCACATAAACTAAATAAATTGTAAAAAGTTTTAAGTTTTTCCTCAAGTGTAGTGACACACACCTTTAATTCCAGAACGTGGGAGGCAGAGGCAAGTGGATGTATATCAGTTCAAGATCGGCCTGGTCTACATAGTGAGTTACAGGCCACTCGACACTACATAGTGAGACCCTGTCTCAAAACAAGGACAAAAAGAATGCTTATAGCAACATTATTCAAGACATTCAAACATTGAGGAAATTTCAAATATTCAATGAGTTCTAGTACAGTCATATAATAAAATATTACTAAGCAATAAAAATTTAACAAATCACAGTTGAAATGATGGAATGAAACCAATGATGGAAAGGGATGTCTCAGCGGGCCCATGCCGAGGCATCTCTATCCCCTGAGGGACCAGTCACACGAAGGTATAGCATATAATAGACTTTATTCAGGGTATGGGGAGGGGAGCCAGGAGGGTAGTAGAGGCAGAGAGAGGGAGAGAGAGAGACAGAGAGAGAGAGACAGAGAGAGACAGAGATAAGTGGAGGCCAGCCATGACCATGTGGAAAGAGGGGGAAGGGAAGGGGGAGGGGCGAGGGACAGAGGGATCAAGAGAGAGCAAGAGAGGGAGGAGGGGGCAAGCAGCCCCTTTTATAGTGGGCAGGCCTACTTGGCTGTTGCCAGGTAACTGTGGAGGTAGAGTTTAGACAGAATACTAACAACAGTTACATGCAATAACCTGGATATGTCTCCAAGAAGAAAATGGTGTCTCTGGCACAAAGTTTTTGGTGCTCAGTTCCCTCGAGTGCACTGGAAATGCAATTCCTATTTGTCTTCACAGTGACAAACAGCAGAAGTAAAGATGGTGGCAACCATTCTTATGGAAGAGTTTTTCTTCAGTGTTTTTTGAGGGTCCTATCTTTGGACTCAACTCTTTCATGGTTGCTCTTCAGGAAGCCTCAATTACTTAGAAGTTTCCGTGTTCCATAGTTTGTGCTATGCATGTTGTATTAGCTTTTAAAGCAAAGCTGCCTGCTTGCCATTGTCTCTTGTTGGGAGGAGCTTGCCACTGTACTTGTATGTACATTATGATAAGCATGTTTAGGCAAAGAAAATAATTTTTGTTAACAATCTCAACTGGTTTTATTTTGGTTTTGGTTTTGTTTTGTGAGACAGGGTTTCTCTGTATAGCCTTGGCTGTCCTGGAACTCATTCTGTAGACCAGGCTGGCCTCGAACTCAGAAATTTGCCTGCCTCTGCCTCCCAAGTGTTGGGATTAAAGGCATGTGCCACCACTGCCCGGCCTCAACTGGTTTTATTGGCTTGGAACTTTTTCATACTGAAACTGAGTATGTCTTAAGTTGAGGGGCAGCCAGGACATTTGAGTCATAAAAACTCTCATAGTCCAAGACAGGCAGAGCTAATAAGCTCTGATAAAGAAGTGTTTTAAGGGGGTCAGACACAAGACACGCATGCACGTGCACGCACACTTGTACACACACACACACGTACACACACAATATTGTTTAAGGAGAGTGGTGTCTGCCTCTGAAACTCCTAAGGGAACCCTCCTGCAGTAAGGGGCTGGAGAGACAGCTCAGTGGTTAGAGCACTGCTGCTCTTACAGAAGACCTGGGTTCAGTTCCCAGCACTGACATGGTAGCTCACAGCCATCTACAACTCCAGTTCCAGGGTTATCTCATGCCCTCTTTTGACCTCTGAGGGCACCACAAATGTACATGGTACACATACATGCATGTAGGCAAACACTCATAGTCATAAATAATAAATCCTAAATAAAACAAAACTAGACATTGGGAGTCTGGCCACCCGACTCCCATTACCAGCTTCTCACTTGGGATGCAAGGATTATGTTATGTTTCCTTGGTGGGAAAGAGAAATATTGGTTATGGATGGATAGCATTGCCTCTAAACTTGTAATAGGATAGATAATACAAAAATCTATATGGAATGATTATTTTCTTCAAGGGGTCCTGCTCCTAGCACCATACACATAAAAATTAACATTGTAGTGTAATAATTTTTTAAAAAAAAATCACAAAAGCAAATTTTAATAGCTATAACCCCATAACCCAGAAATAACAATATATCTATATAAAAACACCTAGAATGGCATGTATGTATAAACTTTTTTTTAAAATGTGTGTGTCTTTGCCTGCATGTGTATGGCTGGGGTGTGTATTTCATCCTCAGGAATGCTGTCTCCTTTGGGACATGGCTTTTCACTGTCCTGTGGTGCTCTAGCTCAGCTTGACTGGCAGATGCATGGGATCTGCCCATCTTTACTTTCTAGCCTGTTGGAAAGTCTACGTCTGTTTCCTTTTTTGTTCTTTTTGTTTGCTTGTTTGACAGCATCTTGATGTGTAGCTGAGGCTGGGCTGGCACTTACAGTGTAGCCCAGGATAGTCTTTAGGTTGCAATAATTCTGCCTCAGCTTCCAGAGTGCTGGGTTTGTAGGCATGTACCACTGTGTCCAGCTTGTATGCATGTTTTGACAGTTTACTGTGCATTCTGTCTCTGATATGTTGTAGTGCTTGGGTTCAAAGTCAGAGCCTTATGCATGGTAGGTAAGCACACCACCACTAAGCTACCTCCTCTCTTTTGAGACATGTCACTGTGTGGCCTTGAACTCTCAAAGATTTGCTTGTTTTGCCCCCAGAGTGCTGGTATTAAAGGCACATACAACCATCCCTTGCAGGTCATATCCTCTTTATTTTTAACATCCTTTTAAAAGGGGGGGGGGGGTCTTTAGGGCCCTGCAAGTTAGCTTAACAAGAAAAGACATCTTCCAAGTCTGATGATTCAAGTTCTCATGTGGTAGAAGGAGAGAACCAACTCTCACATGTTGTCCTCTGCCCTCCAAATGTACATCATGCCATGCCTGGGCACATGTGTTCACATACACAAATAAATGTAGAGTTGCCTTTGTTTGTTTGTTTTTCTTTCAAATGCTGTATGGTAAAAGCAATTTAATTAAGTGAAGACTCAAGATAAATCAAGATCCCTGTCTCATGTGTATTAATCATGAGCACTGAAAAACATTCAATTATTTGAATAAAATATTCTTAACATATTGCTTTTTCTTCCTCCTTTTCTAGCTCCTGGGCTTATTGGATTGTCCCCATTGTGGGCGCCATTCTCATAGGTTTCGTGTATCGTCACTTCTGGGCTGACAGCAAATCCTCCTGAGGAGGCCATGTGGAAGCTGGAGCACATACTCCCGGGAGTGAGAGGTGGAGACTTGTTTGGAGGCGCAGGGTGCTCCCTCCTTGAATCCTGCCAGTTGTTTTCTTTCCCCTTGGAGCCAAGATGGTTGACCAGATATCTATCCTCCTTCACTGTAGGACCAGAGTCTTTCATCAGCCAGAGCCTGACTCCCAAAGCACCTGCTCACGCTGTGTCCTTGCCAGGTTCTTCTCACTGGTTCCCACTCCTTCCCTTCATTTCAAGAGTTGATGCCAATGACTTAGAGTTCTTATGCTGTAGTGGTGTGGCCTTTGGGGGACACTACATGATTTCTCCTACTATGAATTCACAGTAGACGTAGTTAAGGAAACAGCAGTCTAGTTATGAATCTTTCCCCATTTTTCTTTTAAGTAAATTTATTTTTTTTAAATTCTGATTTAATTTTGTCATTCATCATAAGGGATTTGATTCATGAAGTTGTGTATCTCTTATTTCAAACACAGCTGCCAAATGATCTTATTTATGATTGTTGGAAGTAAGGGGCCAGCAAGATGGCTCATTGGATAAAAGCAGTTGCGGCAAAGCCTGGTGACCTGTGTCTGAGTTCCTCTACCCACAGGGGTGGGAGAGAACCAATTCCCAAAAGTTGTCCTCTGACTTCCACATGTGTGCTGTGGTCTTTGTACACGCACGCGCGCATGCACACACACAGACACACACCAGATGTAAATTTTAAAAATAGAAGTACAGCAACAGTGGCTGTCTACCCCCAGATAGTGTAGCTGATGCTCCTCCTGTCCCTCAGTCCAGCCGCTTTTTTCCCAAGAGTACTTCACAAAACTGTACATCCCTTTGATTTCTTAGGGATATAAGAGCTGAAGAAGGGCCAACTACAGAATCATCTCTTTTGCAAAGAGAACGAAACACTACTTATAGGATAGCAGTTTAAAAAGTGACCAACGTGTGCTCTCCGATCTGACACCGGTTTCTAACCATCTTCGCCCTGGCTGTCTTTACCAGTGAAAGATGAGTGTGTGGTTATCCATGGAACTTCTCTACGGTACATCGGGTTTCACAAAAGGCGTTCTGCTTTTTTGTTTACTGATTTGCAAATTTCTGATTCCCTGTCTTAAAGTAAGAGCCTCAAGTTTGATCTTATATTTATCTCGGTAAAATAACTTATATGTAAATGTCACTGTCAGGCATGCCCTTTCAGATTGGAGACCGTACCAAGGGACTTCTGTTTTCATCTGGGTTTTACCTCCATGGCTCCAACTTGGTGATTTTGTCCTACTTTTCTATTGAGGATAATGATAAATCTGGAAGCTTTTTTCCCCCTTGGATATGAATTTCATTGGAAAGTAGGTAGTTGTTTAAAATTCCTTTTCTCATTGGTCCAGGCATTTTCCTGGCACCTCTGGCTGTATTCTTTCTCCCTGTGGCGGTGCCTGACAGTACCCAGCTGTTTCTTAGTTTCTATGATTTTTCTTCACATCTTTGTTCATTACCAGTCAGCTTCTGGGCTGGTGTCATATCCAGCAGGAAACCATGGAATTCCAGAAGGACCAGAGCTGTTGGGAAGTGTCCTCCTGCCTTCCTTCCAGCTTGCTAGGGGCTTGACAGGACAGGAACCTGCACAGTAAACCAGTCTGCTCATGCAAACTATTTTTAAAAAAGTTCAGCCCAGGACTCGTATCCTGTGATTTAGCAGTTGAATGAATTCAGAATTCATCAAAATAACATTAGGTTTTTCCTTGCACATTTGGATATGATATTTTAGAGTGATTTCTAGGTGACTTTTATATGTCAGAGATGAAGACTTAATCAACCTTTAATCTTTAGAAACGTCTGTAATATTGTGTCATAGATTGACAGCATACTTATTCTGTAACAAAAGTGGCACACTGAGCGCACCTCCACCTAAAGGCTGGGAAGGCTGGGAAGGCTGGGAAGGCTGGGAAGGCCGGGGAGGAAGGCTGGGAAGGCTTGTGTGCAGGGAGGCCGGGACCCACTTGCTGGGATAGGGAAGTCACATGGAGTATGCTGGGTAGAAGGAAAGGACAAAGGCACACTGTGTGCAGGACGGGAGCATTCCAGCTAACACCAAACCTGATGGTACACGTAGTGAAAAACAGCTTATAGGAAATATTAAAGAACTGCATTTTTGGCTGGGCATGGTGGCACACACCTTTAATCCCAGTGTGGGAGAGGCAGAGACTGGAAAATCTCTTGAGGCCAGTCTGGTCCACGTTAGTAAGTCCCAGGACAGTCAGGGCTACATAGAGAGACCATGTCAGAACCACTCCACCTAATAAAAGAACTGTATTTTTAAGTGAAATTGGTGTTTTGATATTTCTCCAGTAAACATTAATACAAAAACATTTTTTTCTATTTTACATCTGTGTCTTTACCGCTTGTTACAGCTGAGCTCTTCCTCCCCTGAGAGCCAGAAGGAAAAGAGTTTCATACTTTGTCTTTGCTATCCATGAAATACATCAGTACCCAGGGCTTCTTTTGAACTACTGATAATGTGATATCATTTTATATTATAAAAAAATGATACTGCTTTTTTTTTTTTAATCTTTAATCCCGGGACTTGGGAGGCAGAAGCAGACAGTTCTCTTGAGTTGTAGGCCAGCCTGGTTTACAGACCAAGTTCCAGGCCAGCCAAGGCTACATAATAAGACTGTCTCAAAACAAAACTCCCAAACCTTTCAGGTCCATTTGCTGTAATTCTGTTGCCTAGATAAACAGCTAGGCAAAAGGTAGGTTTTAAGTGAGAGTTTGTCAAGGCTTTTCGTAAACAACAAAGCAATACAACATGTGCACAAGTGTATTTTTAAAAGTCTGAACTTGTCAAAGAAGCCTTAACATTTGAGGGTCATGAAAACCATTATTAAGACCAAGAGGAGCCATTTCCTGTCACTGACAGCCCCTCCTGACCTGGGGGCAGAGGCGGATTTGGTTGTTTATTCTTGAGGTGACCAGCTGCTGGCACATATACAGGTAATGACAGGTGAACATGAAAGAGAATTTTGTGCTACCCAGATACAGGGTGTTAATGCCCATTCTCAATCATCACTGAGTGATATATCTATTTGTAAAGAAAGCAACAGGACGCTGTATGGACTTTATATCTCCTTGTGTGATTACTTAAGCAGAGACAAGTCTGTCCAAAGCCATCACTTGAGCTGGCTGGCTCTTGCGGCGGTTGCCATCGGGGCTCATGGTGTTGGGTTTGTGCTCATTTGGTGCTGATGGCGAGCAGTGAAGTGATTTACCAGCCAGGTGTGTCATCACACACGACACTCATGCTTCTGTCTCAGGTGATACCCCTCTGGCTGAAGTCGACCTGAGATAACTGAAGCACACAGCATTAAATATTCTTTGCCTCCTACCCCAGGGAAAGTGGACTCAGACTTGTCCTGTCTCGACAAGAAACTGAAGTGTTGAAGCTGTGAGGTTCCGTTGCCAAATGTCTCAAAAGTAACGGGGAGCCCCGTCACATTTGGCCAGCTTTGGGATTTGTGGGAGTGGTCTAGGAGGGAGGCTGAAGAAGCAGGGATAGGCCAGTCACCTGCCTTACGTCCAGTGTCTTACTCATGAATTGCAGGGGCCGCTCCTTGCCCACGCCTGCATCGTCTAGATCAGCTGCTTGGGTAGAGCATCGTTTCGGTTATTTAACTCACCTTTTCCTGTACCCTCTGCTGAGTGGCTAATACTACATTCCTTTTGTGAATTCAACGATGGAGTTTGTTTACCTATTTGGTTTCAGCTTATTTTGAACAAAGATCTTTGTCTCTTTCTACTGGAATGTGCACACAGTGAATGTTTGTTAGAACTACACAATAAAGATACTGTTTTCCTTTTCTTGTCCTGACTGCGGTTGCTTTAAAAAACAAAAAACTTGTTTTTAAGGAAATGTTGGTGCCGTGCTGCTTAGGTATTCTGGATGAAGACTGTTGGGGTGCACAACGTTCTTCAGTGCCACCACTAACATTTCATACGACCTAAGTTAGGGTGCATGGCAGCTCTTCAGGGTTCTTTGTTGGAAGTAGATTTCTTGATTGATAGTTGAGAGATACAGCCATCCAAGTTTGGCCATGTTACTAAATATGAAGTAGGAACCAGAAAACAGTTTGGAGTTCTATTTCTCCCAGTAAAGAAAAGCCAGCATGAGGTAATGTTTTATTGTCTGCAGTGCTGGGCCTCAACTGATTGTTTTTCTTGGAACTAGCTAAACTGTTGGGGAAATTTATACACAGAGGTTGAGGTTCTAGTGATTGTGTGAAGCAAGGGAAATAGGCCACTTTATAATTACCTCCATCATACACTGATAGCCTTTTAGCATGACCAGCGTTAGGTCAGAGTAGATCACTCATTAGGCTCCAGCAATTCCACGACCACAGGAATCGAGGATTAGTCACAGGAAGGGATAGCCCCATTCTTAATGCCAGCATTTGAATGTAATGTTCAATCTCTGATGCTAATAGGAATTCATTATCAAGGCACTCTTCCTGCTGATGGTAGTTGCGTGACAAGTCTTGCTTGATTCAGAATAATCTGAGAAGCCTGTGACTCCATTTACAAAAGTTTAAGACGACCCCACATAATTTATTAAAATCTGATAATGGGCAGCATACATCTGACAGCATTTAGCTAGATAGATGTCTGATCTGTGTAGTTCAAAGCTTGCTCAGCTGAGTCACTTATATGCATTTTGAAAAATTAAATCTTGAGGCTAGAGAGATGGCTTAGAAGCTAAGAGCACTGGCTGCTCTTCTAAAGGACCTGGGTTCAAGTCTCAGTACCCACATGACAACCAACAATCTGGTGTCCTCTTCTGCCTTCTGTAGTCACTGTTCATATGTGGTGTGTACATACATGCAGGCAAAACGCCCAGACATATAAGAATTGAAAAACAACTCAATTTTTTTATGAAGCATTGAAGAGACAGTTGCTTTTCTGATGGAGTCTGAGAATGCAGGTGTAAAACTGTTTGTCACTTCTGTGACACCTGCTAAGTGTTATGAAGTAATGGATAGCTCCAGGTATTACTGATCTTTATTTGTCCTGTAGCCTCACAGGTGAAATGGATGTCCAGATTTTTCAGATTTTCCTACTGACTCAGAAAGTCACTAAAAGGAGGGGCAGAACTTGAACCTGCCTGGATATTTTTGTTTGTGTGTTTTGCTTCTTGCAACAAGGCCTAACCATGTAAACCAGGATAGCCTCTGAGTTCAACATCGGTCTGCTTCAGCCTCCCTGGTGCTAGGTTATAAATTGATGCTACCACATGTCTCTGTAGTGATAACAGGCTTGAAATGGCTCAATTTTCTTTCAAAACAGATTTTTTTTTTAGGGGTGCTGGGGATCCAATCCAGGGCTTTCATACATGCTAAGCTAATACTGTGCACTCAGTTTCATTTGTAGCACCACACAACATTTGTTAATTATTTAAGAGAGTCTTGCCATGTACCTAAGCTGACTTAGAACTCCAGCTCTCCTATCTCAGCCTTCCAAATGTCACAAGCTTAGGACTAAAAGGTATTCAGATATACGGCTGTCAGGGAAATGCATTCTGACTATCCAAGTGAAAGATGTAATCTCAGTGCTTGAGAGATTGAGGCAAGTAGATCTTGAATTTGAGGCCAGCCCTGAAATTTAAAAGGAAAAAGAAAAGGAGACATGTTCTAGAACTGTACTTAGAATAGTCCTAATGTAAATGCTGAAGGAAAACCTATAGGAGCCCGTGTGGGATGACTATATGTGAACCTGCAAACTGATGATTACTAAAGTCTCATTATTTAGAACGAGAACGTCAGGAAGTGGTGACAAGAACAACAAAACCACATTCTTTTCAAGATGGAGTTAAATATTAGAAGAAACTAACAGTTAAGAAGCTTTCCTGTACCTCAACAAGTGCGGGAAGAAGAGCTGAGCACGGTGGCACAGTACCCTTCATCCCTGCACTGGGAGGCAGAAGCAGGCAGATCTCTGAGTTTGAGACTAGCCTGGTCTACATAGCAAGTTCTAGGCCAACCAGAGCTACAACCAGACCCTGCTTTTCTTTTTTTTTTTTTTTTTTTTTTTTTTTTCTTTCGAGACAGGGTCTCTCTGTGTAGTCCTGGCTGTCCTGGAACTCACTCTGTAGACCAGGCTGGACTCGAACTCAGAAGTCCGCTTGCTTCTGCCTCCCAAGTGCTGGGATTAAAGGCATGTGCCACCATCGCCCAGCCAGACCCCGTCTTAAGAAAAAAGAAAAAAGAAAAAAAGAAAAGAAAAAATGGGTAGTGTATTAGTAGTCAAGTTTCTCTAGAGGAACAGAACTGATAGAATGAGTATATATTCTACGTCTATAACAAGGGTTTATTAGAATGGCTTACAGGCTGTGGTCCAGCTCTTCCCACAGTGGCTTTCTACCAACAGAAAGTCTAAGAGTCCAGTAGTTGAGTCCATGAGGCTAGATGTCTCAGTTGGTTTCAGTACACCAGAATCCTGAAGAAGTAGGCTCTGATGCCAGTGAAGGAATAAACTTGCCAGAGTTTCCTTCTTCCATGTCCTTTATATAGGCCGCCAGCAGGCAGTGTGGCCCAGATTAAACGTGGGTCTTCCCACTTCAAATTATTTAATTAAAAAAAAAATGTCTCACAGATGAACCCAGTTGCTTGAGCTTTAGTTAATTCTAGATGAAGTCAGATTGATTGACACCAACAATAGCCACCACAAGTCAGACCCTTGTCAACTTGATACAAAAATCACATTTCTTTATGAGGTAACTTGGGAGTGATAACACTCTGTTACAGTATTTAGGAGGTGGAGGATAAAAAGTAGATCATTGTAACAAGTTAAGAGATCAGCCTGGTCTATACGATGCATCATTTAAAAAAAAAAAAAAAAAAAAAGGAAAAAATAGGGCACCAGGTGCACACACGCTGCACAGACATGCATGTAAGCAAAACACCCATACACATATAATAATAATACTTTTTAGAAATGGCTTAGTGGGCAGAAGTCCATGCTACACAAGTCTCACAGGATGTGTTCAATTCCCCAAACCCATGTCAAGGTGGGAAGAGAGAAAAAGGACTCTGGATATTTGTTCCAATTCCCATGCCTGTGCATGCCCATACATACACGTACACGCACACGCGCGCACGCGCGCGCACACACACACACACACACACACACACATATATATGATCATAATAAAATTTTTTTCTGTTTGTTTTTTCTCAAGACAGGGTTTCTTTGTGTAGCCCTGGCTGTCCTGAAACTCGCTATGTAGACTAGGCTGGCCTCTAGTTTACAGAGATCCACCTGCCTCTGCCTCCCAAGTGCTGGGATTAAAGGTGTGTGCCACCACCGCATGGCCCGGGCATTTTCTTAATTAGTGATTGATGAGGGAGGTCCCAGCCCATTGTGGATGGGGCCACCTCTGCGCTGGCGGCCCTGCGTTCTATAAGAAAGAAGGTAGCGCAAGCCTTAAGGACTCAGACAGTAAGAAGAAGCCCCCTTCCACAGCCTCTGCATCAGGCCCTGCCTCCAGGTTCCTACCCTGCTTGAGTTTCCGCCCTGACTTCCTTTGATGATGAACTGTAGTGTAGAAGCATAAGCCAAATAAACTCTTTCCTCCCCCATGTTCTTTTGGCCATGGTGTTTCCTCACAGCCATAGTGACCCTGACTATGACTCGGACATGGTGGTGGGGTACACCTGTAATCAGTGGGTTACACCTGTAATCGTATCATTGGAGAGGTCGAGAGAGGCAAATGAGAAGTTCAAGACATTCTGAGTTACATAGTGAGTTTGAGCCCAGCCTGAGCTATATGAGATAGAATCTCAAAATCACACACACATGTGCACACACACACACACACACACACACACACAATTAGTGAAAATAATACAAAAAAAAATCTGTCAAGTTCAGTTTGCCACTTCTCTGTCTTAGTATACAGCACACAGGCCTACGTCTGAATTGACAATTAGCTGTGATAATTCTCTGTTAAAAAACGAGTTCACACTTACACAGTGCTTATGAGACACCCCTACACTTTACCTCATTTGGTTCTCTTTAACAATCCTACTAAAGTACTTTTATCATCCCCTGTTTATAGAAAGATAAACTAAGGTATAAAGGTTACATGACTTACATTTACAAGGTGAATTATGGGTCAGAATCTGCACCCAGATTGTCTTGTTCTGGCACTGCAACTTGTACCACATCCGGTGTTGTCTCGTTTATGCTAAGTGCTTTATATGCATCTGAATATCATTATTGACAAACCTTAGGGGGCAGATGCTGCTACTCCAAGCTTAGAGGGTGTGTACTGAGAACACACGTTTGTGACTCCACTGTGCAAAAATCGTTTGGTAGCATCACTGTTTTCAAATGAATTTCAGTCTAAGTTTATCAAGGAACGCTTTGTGCTAGCAGGGTGCCGTGGCAATTCTATAACCTTGGTACTGGAAGGCAGAGGCCGGAAGATCACAACAAGTCCAGGGGCTCTCTTTCCTATATAACAAGTTCTGGTCTGTCAGAGCTATGGATGGAACCTTTATTTGAAGACCTAATTGATTAATATAATAAATAAAACTTTAAAAATCCTTTATTTGCAAGAATTACCAGTTAGGGCAGCCAGGAAGGAATGGTGTCATATAGCAAAAGTCATACCACTCAGGAGAATGGGAATCACAAGTTCAAGGCTAGTCTGGGCTACGTAATGAGACTGTGGTTCAAAGGGAAATACACACACACACACACACACACATATACGCACATCTATTCAGATGTGTGACTTTTTGCTCTGTTTTGTTTCTTTTTGGAGACAGGATTTCATATAGCCTGGGCTGCCTTCAAACTCCCTAT